AAAAGAAAGAGAAGGTGGTAGTTAAACATGGTCAAAAAATTGAAACAATATATAGAAGCCACCCAAAGCTTGGAACATAATTCAAGATGAAGAAGTAACGAAGAGAAACCCCGAAACCCACCTGAAAAGAAAGAGAAGGTGGTAATTAAATGTGGTCGAGAAATTGAACACAATATATAGAAGCCACCCAAAGCTTGAAACATAATTCTGGAGGAAGAAGTGATGAAGAAAAACTCTGAAACCCACCTGGAAAGAAAGAGAGAAGGTGGTAGTTAAACATTGCTAAGAAATTGACACAGTATATTGTATCTACCCAAAGCTTGAAACATAATTCCGGACAAAGAAACGACGAAGAAAAACCTGAAACCACCTGGAAAGAAAGAGAAGGTGGTAGTTAAACATGGTCAAAAAATTGAAACAATATATATTTATTTTTTTTTTTAGTTGGGTTTGTTTTTTTTACTTTTTTTGTTTAGAATTCTAGTTGTAGTTTTTTGTTCTATTTATAGATTGTTGGTTACATAATATTAAATATTTATATGTATAATGGTTTCGAATTTGTAATAATATTTTTTTTAATAAAATTAATTTAATAAAGTATATGTTTTTATAAATATTATCAATATGTTATAGAAATTTTATATAAAGCTTAAATTTAGTAAACATTGTTTGATATATGCCAAGTTGATAGGTTACATAAATCTAGCAAAAGTATCTGATATGTGCCAAGCTGATAGGTCATATAAATCTAGTAAAAGTTGTCTGATATATGCCAAGCTGATAGGTCACAGATATGCGCCAAGTCTCAGTGAGCTATCGGATAGTACCTATTGGATAAATATTGTAGAATATATACAACCTTTATTAGACCTATCAACTTGCCGATAGGCTATCAGAATTTCATTGTTGGATCTGTGTTTCTTTAAGATAACCTCTTTAAAGAATCTGAATGTTAATATTTTTATATTTAAAACAGCCCAGCATTGCATGTATTTTAGCAATATTTTAATCTATCGCATATATAAAGCATAAATTATAAACTTTTAAAATGAAATATTATCGAAATTTTCAAAAATAAACCAATCTTTTAAACTATTATTATTTCGGTAGTTTGTAACTTGAGGAAAAGATTGCGCTAATAGCTTCATTATAAATATTCTGATCACTTGTACTAAGCTTGTCTATATTTTTAATTGTTTCCATTATAGCCTCCTCAGGGTTTTCCAATTAATCCTCTGATGTATAGAATTCATTATCATTTTCAAACAACTCATCAGATTGAAAATTTTTAGATTTTATAGCAACAATATTTTGTGTATTTTTACCTTGAATCATGTGCCAATAAATACATAATAACTTGCTTGCTCGATCATTTGTTAATCTGTTGCGCTGTGAAGTATGAATATTTGATATAACTGACCAAAACATTCACATTCTGCAGATGTAGGAGGTATAGACATTATATGGGCAGCAAAAATTGACAATTCTGGCACTTCAATTTGAAAATTATTCCAAAAATAGACTGGATCATTAATCAAGTAATCATCCCAATTGCCTTCAAAATCAAAAGGATAGGCTTTATTATTCTAGTCAATTAATTGTATTTGAAATTTTTTAATATCTTTGTCTAGAAATAAGCATTCAAATAAAAAACTTGCTTCTTTTTTTATAATTGTAGTAAGTTCTGGATGAATAGCCTTTGCAAGAAAATACTTTGGATAAAGTGACCAACAAACAAGTAAAATAGGACTATATATTCTATCCAATCTATGTTGAATACGTGTATTAATATAAAACTGAAAATTATTATCATCAATTATATTGGTGTTCATTTGTGTTTGA